TATATATATAAGTTTTATTTGTGAATACATAGATATAAATATGCACGCACACGCGCACACAACCACACACTCCTAACACAAAGCACAAACACACATGGAAATACTGTAAAAGATGCTGAATATAATTAAGAAATTATTAGCAGGTTTAAAATTGAGTTAAAAAACTATTCAAAGTGTCTTTAATATTTATGTTCAAGTTAAGGGCCAGAACGGCCCCAGATTAGTACTGATAAAAAGAGCTGGCATTATATTTCCCATATTGTGCCAAAACTCATGAGTTATTTCTCATTGTCAAACTCATTGTCATTTCGCCACTGGGGTGCCTCATCAACTAGAAAGATTCTTTTTTTAGGAGAGAGTGACTTTCAAAGCCTTGGGTTAACAAACAATATTGTTTAGGCACCCTCAATCATAAACTAATTCTAAAAACAACACACCCCTTAGAGTACCAGAATCGAGAACTAGTGGGACTTGGACATCCACACCCACAGTACTCAGTGGCACAAACAGGTCTTCACAGTAAAATAGGCAGTACTGGAGACGTGGGATGAAAAGGTGACACAGTGGTGACCATTAAAACAGCTATTATTTACCAAGAGTGACTCTCCAGTCAACTTCTGAGATACCACAGATGCTCCATATTCAGGAGATACAGACCCATGGTGGCATTTCAGAGGCGACTGGGTGCAAGTTGGGTTTCAGTGGCAGCTAAAGCTATAATTTACGTGTGCTCCAGGGTGATAACAAACGCCTCTAACACCACTGCAAGGATTGTTTGGAATATTTAGTATGGCTAAAACCCCTGGTACCAGTGTCTTATATCAGAAATCACTTTATTAGAATGCAAATGTAGTGTACAAGCACCAAATCATTTTAGCTTAACTGTTTAATAGGCATTCATTATATAAATGACTAGAAATTCCAAAGAGAGATCTTTTAAAATTGCTTTTTTCCCCCTTTTTTTTAAGATTATTCACTATTTCCATTCTGATAGAAGACTCTGAAGATTACTGGTACCCTGGTGTGTATAACCGTGGGTCAGCACACACACACACACATACACACACGACTGTACACCTCACTGCTACATCAACAGCCTTTTAAATAGAGAGACCCAGCTCTGGCACCAGGACCTGTACATCAGATATGTTCTCTTTGTGCTTTTCGGCATCACCACCACCACTCAAGTTCCACGTTTATCGTAAATCAAAGTGGTCTTGAACCTAAGAACAGCCTGTCCCTCACTCTCGCTAATAAAGCCGCAGTTAAGTCTCATAATTTGTTTTTGGGCTGCTCGGCCGTGCAGATCCTGGCAGAGGTGCCAGCTGCAGAGCTGGCTGCCAGTCCCTTCCAGCCCCTCACCGCTCCGGCGCTGTCACACCGAGACGACCACGTCGAGATAGAGTCTGTCGTAGGATTCGCGGAAGCACAAGATGAGGAGCAGGCTGAGCAGACACGATCCTGGCAGGCACCAGTTGAACCAGGAAAACTCTGTAAAGCAGAAAACAGACCCAACCTCAGAGTTATCAAACATGTTCCATGTTCAAAGCGACCAAAACTTTGATCAGTGCTGGGTTTGAAGGAAATTGCTGACAGCTCTCCATCAATAGATGGTTAACATGGTCCATGAGACTTCTCCATGGACACCTTATGTATATATAAAGTTTTTTATAGACATATAACCAATGCCTCCAGCTAATGTTAATCTTCCTTATTCAATTTGTCAATGAAGAGAAGGGGGGAAGGGGAAATCTATCACTGCTAACGGAAAATAAACCACTTCTGAAGACTCTACTCATTAGTTCTTTGATTTCTATGGATTGAAAACTAAAACAAATTAAAAGCGTACTCAGAATTAGAATTTGATTTTGGATCAAACCTGCTACATGCTATACGAGGGAAAACCAATTCCTCAGAAGAAACTGGTGAGTAGTATGATCAATTCAATTTAAAAGTAGTTGCACAAACAGCTTCTCAGAAGCCTCTTTTTAGCTCTTAGATATAATGTACTATTCTTAAAAGTCTGTGTTCCACATTCAAGCAATCCTATCATCTGATATTTGACTACTAACTAGCAGTTTTAATCAGGTTTGGTTTATTTTTTTTAAAACAAGTGAAGTGCACCACAATTTCCTTCAACATTAATTTTATTTGAGATAGTGTTTTATATATTTTTCTTTTATTATTAATGTAATATTATATTCATGTATTACATTAATGCATATATTAATACATTGTATTAATAATTTTAGACCTCCCTTACAGTCTGAGTTAATCAAAACAGACGCTCCAGCACTGCTACTTTCTTAATTCTGTAACCTACATTACTAAAAGAAAAAGCACAGTTTATATTACACAATGCAAAGGACAGAAACCAGAAAGTCTAAAAAGAATAAATAAATTCAAACATTGTAACCTTCAACGACACCGTTAACCTTCAACAACACCCTCCTCCACCCACCAAAAACCCTTACAGATTTCTTTAGGCAGTAGCTTTATTGAAACCTTGGTAAAAATTTCCTAGGCTTGGAGAAGACCATGTTACATGATGCCAGAAATCAATAGGCAAGTGCTTTGCTATTCTTTACAATACTCTTGCTTAATTGGATTAAACAGATTTTAGCCTAAATATCCTAAAAGACCCAATTTAGCTTGTGAATCCTTTCCTGTCTTTTGTAATGCAGAATTTGTGACAGCACTGGCGGTGCATGCTAACAATTGATAGTATGAAGCTAAAGGTCGATTTGCTTTTGTTTTCCTCGAAAGTCCCTGCAGGAAAGGTGAAGGAAACGACATCCAGAGGCCACGGTTTGGGTCTCAGGGCTCCGCCGTGCTACCTGGACCAAAATCTTTTGTTTACTTGAAAGCTTCCAGGACTTGGCTGTTCCACAGCCTGTGCAGTATCAGAGTACAAGGAGAAAAAGACAGAAATTGGAATTAAAACTCCTGAAAGGCTATTTGGCCTAAAAAGCAAGACTGAGGGAAGAAGATGAATTTGACTGAGTTCTGGTTTATCTGTAAGCTGCTTAAATGCCATTAGAGGATGTATTTGAATAAAATGAAAGACAAATGTTTCAGATCATTATCCACCTTCTAAAGGATTTTTTTAATCAAAGGAGCCAATAGTACCCACTGGGATTGATGCCCCTGTGACCACATGCACTCTTGTACTTTCGATCATTTGTGAAACTGCATCACTGAGAATGGATTGTCTTAAGCATAAATTACTTCTTAATATTTCTTATCCTTTGAAGAAGTAGGGACAATATTTCAAGAGTATGCATATACCAATTTCAAGTTTATCCTTACCTGCATTTACTGATACCTGCTTGGAAAAGAAATTAACTAGAGACAAAAAATGGCCCCAAATACCCTTGGCCTCAAATACCCTTTTTATAAAGGAGTAAGTTCACTTTACCATTTTCTTCAGTCAGAAGTGAGACATAGTATCCCTATCCTCTATTAAATAATTCTGAACACTGGATTGTTACAGTGAAAAATGCTGAAAAAATCCTCTGAATACTCTGTAATCTTTTCAGCTCAGGTGTAAATGTTGGAAATAATAGTATATGTGAACAGAGTTCACTCCAATTAATATCAATCATACAAGCACTCTCAATATAAAGACTAAATATTATGCTACTCAAGGCTAGCAGGGATGCAATTCAGATTTTACAATGATGCAGTTCAATGTCAGTATATAGATATAAAAAAAAAAGTAAAATAATTTCTCCCAGTTTGTGCTCACAGACCGCAAGTTGGAACAGGGCTGTCAACCTGCTTGTGATTCCCTGGCAGAAACACACACCCCACACCAAAAATTTGCCCCAGGCTGTAACCTTCATAACTTCAGGCATAATTCATTCTGAAAATTGTTATTCTCCTCTTGGTTATAAAACACAACATCTTAAGCAGTACATGCACTCATGATAATATATAAAAGCTCACAATGTTTGATGCTTCCAAAGCAAACCATCACTTTACAAATCTTGCAGAGTGAAGCAAACATTTACCACAACAAACTACAAGCTAAAAATCTGCATCTTTCAAAAACATTAATAAAGACTACTTCCTTTTGAAAGCAAGATGGGTTCTTATTTTACAACTTAGAGTAATAATACATATTAGAGTCCACTAAATAGCAAGCTGAAAGCTACAATCGTGAATTATGAAGAAGCAAATAATACTCGAGAGATGAACTAGTCTAAAGAAGCTGATGAAAATATCAAGCAAAACACTGTTCTGCCTCATTAGGCCACTAGATTATCTAAAGGAATGAACACTGTCTTCAAGCAGTGGCCAAGAGGTGCTCTCTCCCCTGCAATGGTACTTCCAACCCACTGAACAGAGCTGACCATAAATGGGGCATTTCTGCTCTGCCCCCCTGGGTACTACAGTTATATCCTGAACCATGAGACTGAATTAGTTTTATTGTGCTTTTTAATACCAATAGATAGAAAGATTATTAATGGTCACAATACCCAGGCCTTTATAAAAATACGTTGACAGTATGTAGTTTGATGGTTTCTGGCTACAGAAAATTCTAAGTAGAATATGACTATATACATTTTTCAGTGAAGCATTTCAGTTTTACTACTATGCAAACAGAAAGGGACAATTAAAGTTCTTCTCTCTTGCTGCTATACAGGGGGGATTCAAACATTCTATTGTTAACAGAAAATTTATGTGCAAATCCGCCCTTTACTGACAAGGGTATGTCTTCATGGAGAATTATATTTCCAAAGTAGTTTAGATTTCTTACCTGTATGATAAAATGTGAGGAAAAACAACAGCACTCCCATAAAGACGTTACTCAAAAAGGTGACAACTCCACAGGTAATTCCTTCTGGAACAGGGTACACTGTCTCCACAAAGAGCTCAAAGAATATTGGTACGCTGCTATTGAGGAATATACCCAACAAAATGCAGGATGTGTACAGTGTAGCTATAAAAGAAACAAAAACAGTTATTAATTTCATGCTGGCATTTGCCCCCCTATTCAGAGATGCCAAGAATTTTAATACTTGAGTAACTGAAAAATGCATAAACTTATTTTTATCAAAGCATATCACATCCCACTAGTTTCAGACAGAATGTATGCAATTAATTCAGAAAAAAAAAACAGAAATACTGATTTTATTTTTTATTTATTTATTTATTTTATTTTTAACAGAACCCATGAAGACACATTCAGTGATTTGGAACTCACTTGTAAGTAAAACAAACAGAACAAAATTATGAATGCAAAACATCACCTACGGTCTGATTTACCTCTGAAATGAACAAACTATTGTCCTAGGCACAATTAGGACAGGGAGCAATTAATGCACCAAATTGGAAATGGACATAGATTAACCTTTTGACTTAGATATAAAGGTCAAAAGTAATTTTGCTTCCATTTTACAAATAAATACTAATGATCCACCAGATATCAAGACATTAGTATTCAGCACAGCTAGAGCTGCAACATGTCGAATCCCTCCTGGCTTCCAAAGGAGATGAAGGGCACCCTGTGCCTGGCAGGAATGGGATGGATCTGATAATGCCAACCATTCACCATTTTACAACAAATTTTCTTGGATGAATCAACAGAAGAATAAAGACATTTCTTCAGTCGCCTCAGATATTTTGTGCTACTATTTGTGACACTGTTAAATACATCACAAAGTTTAATATCTTGATATAGATGGTTCATATGCTTATATTACCTATTAATAAGCATATTATATCTCTTTCTGAAAATGAACCAAATCAAAACAACCAACCCAACTTCAGAAGAATTTAGTAACTATTTAGAAACATGAGTAAATCTTTGCTGACTGCTGCCTTGGGAAGGGGAAGATTTCCTGACCCGCAGCCTCCACAATCTCAGTTTACTAATCAAGTAAAAAATATATGGAAACAATCAGAAGGCTTGGAGGAAGAAAAAGGAAAAGTCTGGAATAATTTCTGAAGTTCCACCAAAAAGTCAAGAAAACAAAGAAAAATTTAGCAGATACAAAAGTGTAACCAGGTCATAAGGAAATTCTTCATAGCATCTTTTTACTACAGTATGGTACAAAATCCTTACACTTTTTTTCCATATAGATATACACTTTTATATCAAATAGAAACTGTATATTCAGTATAATTTACATTCTTCTGTCTTGGAAAGGGGAGAACTGAAACAGCTCTGCTTCATCTTCTGTTAAGCGTTGCTCAAGCTTTCAACTGAGAAACTGTTAGGAAGCAGGAAACTTCCAGCTTAAAAATAAAAATTCACCCCCCCCAAATCACTGTTTCTTAAAATATGAAGAATCATGGAAAAGAGATAAAGGCATTAAGAAGCAGAAAGGGCTAGCTATGAGATCCTTTGTTTGTGGTTTGCTTCCAAGGCACAGAGACAAATTTTGCTTTCCCTA